TGTATCCATATATTTTGGTATGTGGTAGTTTCATTTTCATTTGTTTCAGGAAATTTTAAATTTCTTTTCTTAATTTCTTTATTCACCCATTGGTTATTCAGGAACATTTTGTTTAGTTGCCATACATTTGTGAAGTTTCCGAGGTTCTTCTTGTTATTGTAGTCTATTGTGGCCAGAAAAGATAGTGGTATGATTGCTACTTTTTGAATTTTTCAGACTTGTTCTGTGGCCTAAGATAAGGTATATTCTGAAAATGTTCCATGTGCTGATAAGAATAATGTCTTTTCTGTAACTGTTGGGTGAGATGTTCTGTTAATGTCAGGACCTTTAGGTTATTGATTCTTCGTTGATTTTCTGTCTGGATGATCTGTACATTTCCGAAAGTGGTGTGCTAAAGTTTCCTACTATTATTGTATTGTAGTCTCTCTCTCCCTTTGGATCTGTTTATGTTTGCTGCATATGCTTGGCTGCCTCATACTGGTTGCATAAATAGTTATAATTGTTATATCATCTTGCAGAATTGACCCTTGTATCATATATATTGATCTTCCTTGTCTCTTTTTATACTGTTTGATGATTTGTAGTCTGTTTTATTTGATATAAGTGTAACTACTACTGGAATTTCATTTTTCACCCCTCACTTTTGGACTATGTATATGTTTATAGGTGAAGTGGTTTTTTTGTAAGCCGCATAGTATTGGGTCTTGTTTCTTTGTCCATCCAGCCATTTTGTGCCTTTTAATTGGAGAATGGATTCCGTTTACATTTGGTGTTATTGATGAGTTAAGACTTTTACTTCCGTTTTGTTGATTGTTTTTTGTATTGTAATTTTTCTCTTCCTTTCTTACTGTCTTCCTTTGTGGTTAAGTGATTTTCTCTGATAGTGCTTTTTAATTAATTGCTTTTTATTTTTAGTGAATCTGTTACAGGTTTTTGCATTGTCAGTACTATAAGGCTTACAAAGCCATCTTATAACAAGTTATTTAAAGGGTGACATTTTAAGTCACATAGAAAAGAATAGAAACAAATGAGAATGAAAAAAAAAATTCTACACTTTAACTCTATCCCTCACATTTTGGCTTTTAGTTGTCTCAGTTCACATATTTTTATATTACCTATCTCTTACTATGTTGCTGTAGCTATAATTTTTTTTGTTTGTTTTCTTTCTTTTAAATAATTGTTTTAAATAGATTTGTCTTCTGGACATAACTGGAGTTATGAGTGGATTGCACACCACAATTATGGTATGAGTATTCTGGGTTTGTCTGTACTTAATTTTACCAGTGGGTTTTAGATCTTCAACTATTTTTTTTTTCTAATTATTTTAGCACGTTAGTCTTTTTTCTTTCAGACTGAATAATTTTCCTTAGCATTTCTTGTAAGACAGGCCTGGTGGTGGTAAACTCTCTCACCTTTTGTTTATCTGGGAAAAACTTTGTTTCTTATATTTGAAGGATAACTTTACTGGATTTGGTTATTCTTGGATGATAGGTTTCCTTTCTTCCTCCCTTCCTTCCTCCCTCCCTCCCTCCCTGCACTTTTTGCTTTTTGCTCCTCTTCATTATGATCCGCTCTGCTCCTCTCCTCCCCTCCCCTTTTTCCCCTCCCTTCTCCTTCCCTCTCCTTTCCCTTTCTGTCCTTTCCTTCCTTTCTCTGTCTCTCTCTTTCTCTAGTTATTCCACTTCCTCCTGGCTTGTATTGTTTTTCAATGAAAAGTCTGTTGCCACATGAATTGGAACTCCTTTGTATGTTATTTCCTTCTTTTTTCTTGCTGCATTTAGGATCCTCTCTTTGTCCTTGACCTTTGAGAGTTTGATTAGTGTATGTCTTGGGGTAGTCTTATTTGGGTCAAATCTGTTTGTTTTCTCACCTTCCTGTTGCTGGTTATTTATATCTTTCTCAAGTTTTGTGAAGTTTTTTATTTTTTATTTTTGAATAAGCTTTCTATACCTTGCTTTTGCTCAGCTCCGTCTTGAACACCTATAATTCTTAGAGTTGGTCTTTTGAGGTAATTTTCTTTATCTTGTAGGAGATCTTTATTGCTTTTCACTCTTTTCTTTTTTCTCTTCTGTGTATTTAAAAATAGGCTGTCTTTGACTTTGCTGATTCTTCTCCTTGATCCATTCTGATATTGAGTGCCTCTAATGAATTTTTCAGGTCAGCAGATATATTTCTTAGTTCCAAAATTTGTTTGGTTTAAACAGAATTATTTCAATTTTTTGGTTAAAATTTTCTGATAAATTTCTGAATTTCTTCTCTGTGTTATCTTGGAGATCACTGCGTTTCCTTAAAACTGCTATTTTGAATTCTTGCTTAAAAAGTTCACATATTGTCATCTTGTTAGGGTTGCTTATTGGTTTCTTGCTTTGTCCATTTGGGCATCATGGTTCCCTGCTTGCTATTGTTTCTTGTGGATGTATATCTGTTTCTTTGCATTGAAAGATTAGTTATTTATTCTGTTCTTCTCTGTCTGGCTTGTTTTGGTTTCTGTTGGATGTGTTTGGTTAGAGGTTATTTACTGCTAGGTTACTGCCTCCCTTTTGGCTTTAGGTGGTGCCTTAAGCTTAGGTTCACCTTGGCTCTAGTAAATTATCAAAATGTTGCCCTTCCCAAAGGGGCAGGTCCCAATGGGGATATCTCGGCAGTGTGGGAAGGCTGGCTGTGGAGGTTTATGCCTAGTGGACCTGTGGGACAAACCTACTGTATGGTGCTACTGAATAGCTACTGTGATTTGGCATCTCCTTTGGTAGAGTTACAAAGGAGGGCTCTCCTTTATAGGGCTAGGGATTATAGTCCTGCTTCCCCTCTTAGTCTCTATCTACCTCATGGATATTTCTCCCTTTAGGTACTTGTGATGCTTTCTGTGGGTTAAGGAAGGGACACATCTCCTCCTAGGGAACCCAAGATAGTGGGCAATTTGGTTCCACCTTGGTCTTTTACAGTAAGTTGAAACAGTGAGTTGAGGGGAAATTTTCCTTGCAGTTGGTGCTGGGCAAAATGGGGGGAGGGGCATCGTGGATGTGCAAGTCTAATTCTCTGTCTGCTGGGAGATTTTTTTACTTCTCTGTGGCCCTGGGAATGATCTCTCCTTATATTTGAGTTCTGGCTTATTTCTGGCCATAATCTCATTGCTGTATATTTGTTTTCCTTTTTCTGTGTAGGAGAGTCAAACCAGCTTGCTTCTGCATCACCATTTTGGAACTGGAAGCCAACCTATATGGCTTGTGTTTAATTGCTATAAGAACTGTGTTGAAAAAGATTTCCTACACTATGTTATTTGGCATTGAAGCAAAAAGTGTTTGCAGAAAGGCAATCAGAGCAGGGTGCACATTTAACAAGAATAAAGCAAATATTCATGATTGGAAGGATGACCACAGTTGTATTTCCTTGCAAAAAAGGTGCTTTATGGGATTAAGAAGAGGAGCTATTACATGAGCAAATGAAAGAGTGATACATTTTATACCCAAGATATGTACAAACACTTTCCATATCACAAGCTGAGCGATATAATTTCACGGAGGAGAAATTGCCAAATCCTGTGGAATAGATGATTAGTGTGACCAGTTCAGGGACCATATAGAACTGTTGTTAAGGCATTGTCTCATAGCTTTAATTGCCTCCTTCCTTTATAAATGAAATCAATGAATTTGATCATCTTTTTATGTGTTTATTCACTTTTTACATATGTCAAGATAGTCATTTGATTTTTCTGTTTTAATCTGTTACCAGATTTTTTTTTTTTTTTTCCGAGATGGAGTTTCGCTCTATCGCCCAGGCTGGAGTGCAGTGGCACAATCTTGACTCACTGCAGCCTCCATCTCCTGGATTCAAGCCATTCTCCTGCCTCAGCCTCCCAGGTAGCTGGGACTACAGGCATGTGCCACCATGCTCGGCTAATTTTTGTATTTTTAGTAGAGACGGGGTTTTGCCATGTTGGCCAGGCTGGTCTTGAACTCCTGACTTCAGGTGATCCATCTGCCTCGGCCTCCCAAAGTGCCGGAATTGCAAGTGTGAGTCACCGCGACCGGCCTGTTACTACATTTTCTTATGTCAAACCATCCTGCATTCCTGAAAGCAACTTGCTGTTTACTTTTTAAATTCATGGTTATCTTGTGAACGTCTTTTCAGTTTAGTGTGTACAGGTCTTCCTCATTTTTTTAAATGGCTGCATTATTTACCTATTGTATAAATATACTATAATTGTTTAAATGGCTGTCTTTTGGATATATGTGATTTCCAGTTTTTGCTATTAAAAATAATGTACGAGGCTGGGCGCGGTGGCTCACACCTGTAATCCCAGCACTTTGGGAGGCTGAGGGTGGAGCACGAGGTCAGGAGATCGAGACCATCCTGGCTAACACAGTGAAACCCTGTCTCTACTAAAAATACAAAAAAATTAGAAGGGGGTGGTGGTGAGCGCCTGTAGTCCTAGCTACTTTGGAGACTGAGGCAGGAGAATGGCGTGAACCCGGGAGGCGGAGCTTGCAGTGAGCCGAGATCGCGCCACTGCACTCCAGCCTGGGCGACAGAGCGAAGACTCCGTCTCAAATAATAATAATAATAATAATAATAATGTACCAATAACTGTCTTTCCATTTCTGCAGAATAAATTTCTATAAATGTATTTATTATGTGCATTTCATTGTCTGCTAACATGAAAGAAAGTTAATTTTTAAGACATCTTTGCTTGGTTTGAAAATGTCAAATATTGTTAGAAAATATACCAGTGGTTGTCTTTGGGGTGATTGGCTTATGCATGCGTTTGCTTATTATTATTATTTTTTAACTTCAATACAAAAGATAGAACTTATTTTAGAAAACTAAATGCTTTATGAAAGCAAATGCTGCTTTAGAAGTTCTGTGATTGTGAGCAATTGTAGATGCCCAATAATACATCTAGCATAATGCAAAACATGACAAATTGAAAAGATATTTGTAGAAGTAGGTTGATTGATTTATTGACTGAAACAGATAGATAATTTTTACCAATTCTTTTTCAGGGTTTTTTGATTAACTCAAAACCAGAGAATGCCTGTGAACCCATAGTGCCTCCACCAGTAAAAGACAATTCATCTGGCGCTTTCATCGTGCTAATTAGAAGACTTGATTGTAATTTCGATATAAAGGTATGGTTTTCTTTTTTTCATTTTTTGTTTCCTATTTGTTTAGTTAGCTAATTTAAATCCTCCCTTATTTCAGAAAACATTTAAAATTTAAAATCCAGTAAGATTGAAAATAAACTGGATGCATAGAATAGAAATAACTTTTACTGGTTCTAAGAATTTTCAGGCATTTGTTGGACATCTTGAACTGTGGTTTAACAGTGGAAACTTACTTGATCTCATGTAGGAATGAAAACTTAACTTCAGCCTTTAGTTTTATGCCTTTACCCTTCCGGTATTAATCTCAAACCTACATCTATACCTGTATCTACATTGTCATTGAGGTTTGTCTTTTGTAATAAGTTAAATCTGCCCCTGTATAAAGTTTTTTCTCTCTGACATGTGTTAAGCTAGCATTTCAGATAGTAAAATGAGGTTTACCCACCTCCCTCACCATGTATCACCAGTGCTGCTCTAGGTGTATGGTTTTTTAAAGTCTCTTTTGGGATTGGCATTGGCTAAGGAGCCACATTGAGGCCTATGTAAAATAAACCTTGATGTAACTGTTACTGGACTTCCTCAGAGCTGAGTGTCATATAGTGTCTTGCATGTATCTCCCAGAATAGGACATGGGCTATTATTTCATGTTGCTTGGTCTTAGATAATTTGTCTGTTCAGCAAGAAAAACTGCCCTGTCACGCTGTGCATGAATTTTCTCTGCAATTTTGATTGCATGGAAGAAATGATATCTCCGTAATAAACTTATGAGAAGAATAAAATAATAAATATAAAGGAATTTGAAAATGTATAGCACTGTGTAAATGATAGGTATCATTACTACTTTATGTTAGTTCCAAATATTGACTCTCACTTGCCTTTAAATGGGAATAGATTAGAGTTTGAAGTCAAAGTAGTAGATTTCCTGCTTCTCAGAGTTGTTTATGATAGTTTACATTTAACTGTTTTATCCAGAACTAAACTATAATAATTAGAGATTGCTGCAGTTAAAATTAAATGTTATTGTAATGTTTCATTGATTTCTTGCTGTTAAGAAATTAAAAGTAAACTAATTCTATTGATCCCAAGGTCTACTGCACTATTATGCTTTGTAATTTGTGGACTCAGTACAGTCTGATAGTTAGAAACTAGAATACTTTTTTGTTGTTGTTATAACTTTCCTTTACAGGCAGGGATGGGAGATGGTACACTTTGAAAATTAGGGAAATATTGTTACTGAATATCTGTTTTTGAAGATGAAACCACAACTCGAGAATGAATACAGTAGACTTGTTAGCCTTCTTGTCCCTTTAGTGGATCCTCATCATGAGTCTGAGTACTTCCAAAGGAGCTTAATGATTTAGTCATTAGTCCAGCTCATCTCTTTTCACTGCTTGCCTTGAATTTTATGTTGCAGCCATACCGCCTGCCTGAATTCTCTCAACTGGCTGTGCCATGCTGATCATACATTTGTGCCTTTACATGTACTATTTTCTCTGTCCAAGATCTCTGCTCCAATGATCTTTATCACCCATTTATCTGTCTCATCACTTATGTGCTAGCTGAGGATGTTACCTCCTCAGGAAGCATTACTTTTCTTTCTACTTCCTCTGTTGCAGTGCAGACCATTCCAGCTCAATGTGCCACCCTTCCACTTTGCAAATACTTCCTTCATTGCGTTTTATCACATTGTTATTGCTTTTTATTGAATATATATATATATATCTCATTTGTGAATTGATGGTGTTTAGCGTTCATGTTTTAACCATATTTATATATCCAATTTGTATTATAGTACATGGTAAGCAATCAATAAAGACTTATTAAATCAAACTGTAATAGCCTTTTGCTTGTGTGTCTAATATATTCTTGAAAAATGTGTACATATGAAAAACATGGAAAAAGGTTTCAGTTGAGCCATTCTAATGTTAGAAAGGGAAATGTTAAAAAAATTCTCATTATACTTTACCATGTAGGCACAGTTTTAATGAATAAGGCTCTAGTCTGTTGTGTATGTTCTTTCACTTGGTTATTTTTTCTTCCACAAATATACAGTGGAGTATATTCTGGCCATTTAAGGCTGAAGATTCCTTACTTATGTCATTCCTAATGATTTCTGTTTTTGTCAGAGTTGTATAAATTTCTGGAACATCAGTTTACAGGGAGACACAATGATTATAATCAAGGTCTGGAAACAGAGTGTATATACTTCAATCTTATCTTTATCATTTATTAGCAGTATGACCTTGGACAAGTTATTTTACCTCTGTGTGCCTCAATTTTCTTATCTATAAAATAAGAATTATAATGTTCCCTATATCATAGGATTGTTGGGAGGATAACATGAACTAATCAATGTTAAATGCCTCCCCAACAGCACCTTGCATACAGGAAGGAGGCAGTGGGTCTTAGCTGTTGATGTTTTATGCTTTTTACCATTAGAATTAAATAGAATAAAGGTAAAGATGGCAAAATTGCTGACTTTTTGGAAATCAAATTGTCTGATAAGTCACATGTGATATAGCAACTCAGTGTCAGCTGTTGTATAAAATTTCTAATTTGGCTTATAAAGACAGTTTAATTATACCATTGTGGAAAGTATGTTTCATAAATTTGTAGTAGTAAGAATTATGCATTACCTATCAAGGTAGTGTGACTGGGTAAGGATAAAGTCATTATGGTTACTGGAAAAACAACTGGAATCGCACCCTAAAGAAAATTTCCTTTCTAGGGTGGTTACTGATGGATAAGCTGTTAGCCTTATTAACTGTACTTTTCAGATCAGAAATCTCTGACTGCATTTAATGAGCTTCCAAAATGGTTATATACAGTTTTATATTAAGTGTGTTGTGGAATTTGGTCATCAATGTTAATATGTATAATACTTCTTTTCAGAATTGCTGATAAATATCTCCTGTAGATAATCAATAATGGTTCATTCGTGTATATCCACAATTCTCTATGATGCATTGGCTTAAAATAGTTAGAAAATGATATATTTCCTTATTTATTACATAGCTTACTAGGACTGAGTACTGAGGAAAACTTAATTCAGCTTCATACATAATACTACAATTGATGGTAGTGCAGGGTTATATTTTGGCATGCCTCTTATCCAAAGTGACATACAAATTATCTCAGACAAAGGAGAATTGCCTCTATCTTTTAAAGTTTTCCTTGGAGAAAGGAACTCTTTGTTTTAGACCACAAAGAGAAAAGAAACGAGGAATAAAAATTTATCGAGACATTTCAGATGATTAATGTTGGTGGGTATTTCAGGATTTTTACACTTCTTTTAGTTTTTTTTTTAAAAAGATTAAATAAACGTACACTTTTCTTCTTCTTTAAAAGGAAATGAATAAGTGGAATATATGTTATAGTTTTTAAAATGGCATGTTTTCTTCATATAAACCATCCCAAGTGATTTGTGACTCAAAGATAGCCACAGAGGCAGCGGAAATGCAATTAACAATTCCTGGAGGAAAGGGAATTGCTTTCCAAATAAAGAGAGCCATTGTTTTAATTTTTTATCTTCTGTTGAGAGAAACACATATGAACCTTTTAATCTGTCTTACCTTGAGGAGGTGCAGCAAAACCCATGCTCAGAATGAATGTTTGAATATGTAGAATATCCAAAAAGCCAGTAAGAAGAACTATTGATTACATGTCAGGTACTTATTCTAAAAGTAATCACTTATACTGACAAAAACTGTATCCTCTGAAAAATACAGCTCTTTAGAGGAAAAGCAAAACAGTGCTATTTTGTCTTTGTATGATGCTGTTCTTTACTGTGACAAAACATAATTGTTTGGAAATGTTAGTTTTTGGTGAGCATTTGAGATTAAAAAACATTGTTGGCACTTTGGCAAATAAATTAAGGCTATATTAAATCTTTTAATTAGAAAGTTGACTTTGAAGCATTCTGAGGGAGACGTTTCTTAGAAGGCTTGAATTGGCATCCCAGTGAGAAATACAACTTTAAAAAAAATCTGTAAAAATACCTAGTAATTGAAAGGCCATTAAAATAATCATTTAACATTGAACTTTCAGAGCTATACAATTTTCTGTATCTATAACTGAATAAAGATAAGTTATAAAAAAAAATCTGCCCATTGTCATTTCAGTACCAGATGCTTTCATTACTTGGATATAATGGCAAGTCACCAATTTCTTTGAGTAACGAATTTACTGTATTTTAACTGGACTTTAGGGAACACTGGTAAACAGAAATGGTGCAACATATGCACTTTATTCAGCCGTGTGTGCTGAACCTTATTCTATCTTATGTGTGAATGAGTATTTTTGAAAAATACAGCTGCAAAGCCATCTAGGCCAGTTATCAAGGCCGAAAGGACTTAGATATTATTCTCCCTTCCCACACCCCATTTTTTTTGGCATGAATGGAGGTACATTTGGATTGTAGATGATAAGGAATATGTTGGGTCTCTTCAGAGCTATTTTCTGCTGTAATGTGGCTTTTATAAAACTTAATTGGGATACAAATACAAAACTTAACTGGGATACTTTACCTGACTTCTGCCTCTCTCAAGTTTCATCTCTACTTTGCCACTCCTCCCACCTCATAAGAATTTACAAGTCCCCATATGTGCTGAGCAGTGTCTCCCACTCTGTCTTAGTTTCTGTCATGTCCTCCATCTGGCATGTCCTCCTTCTACTTGTCTGTCTGGCCAATCTGACTTTATTTTAGATCTAAGATAAACTATGTCCTGTCTGAAACCTTTCCTGATTTTCTTCAAGGTAGAACTCATCCTATCTTTTTTTTTTTTTTTTTTTTTCCCCGAGATGGAGTTTTGCTCTTATTGCCCAGGCTGGAATACAGTAGCACGGTCTCGGCTCACTGCAACCTCTGCCTCCCAGGTTCAAGCAATTCTCCTGCCTCAGCCTCCTGAGTAGCTGGGATTACAGGTGCGTGCCACCATGCCCAGCTAATTTTTTGTGTTTTTGATAGAGATGGGATTTCATCATATTGGCCAGGCTAGTCTTGAACCCCTGGCCTCAGGTGATCC